GCCCCACCCCCCCCCCTCCCCTCACGAAAGGGCCGAACGGTACCGCTGGGTACGGAGGAGACCCAGCGTCCCGGGTTCGAATCCCCTGAGCACCTCTAGGGGTGCGGGTTGGCGGGCGCTGGGTTTCCATCGTCGTCGGGGCGGCGAGGGGAGGGGAGGCCGCGGCCTTACGGGCTTTTGTTGGGTTTCTTTTCGGTGTGTGTGGGGGGGAGAGATCCCGAGCGGCTGCCGGTGGGGCTGGGAGGCCGCTCACTTAAAATAAGGAGAGTGAGGGGTGAGGCAACAGATCAAGATGGCGGAAACCCTGGGCACGTTGTGGTGTGTCCTCTTCCTGCCTCCCCTACGCTTGGAAGCTTCGGGAAAGGTCGCGGTCACGCTATCATCCCGCTGAGGGATCGCCCCGCTGAGGGATTTGGTTTCAGGTACTTCCCATTCAGAAGTTGCCAAAGCACCGAAATGACGGCCGGGGTTTTGCGGTACTTCCAAAATGGAAGAACGGTGGGCCCGCAGTCGGGTCCCCCACCCGCAGGAGGAACCCTGGACCCGTGCAAAACCCTGAAGGATGGGGCGATGTTGTGTTCCTCATGTTTGGCCTATTTAAGGTGAGATTCAAGAGCTCCTTCGCACAGTTGCCAAACGTGCTATGGAGCGCCCTAAGATTCTCTTTGCTTTTTTTCCCCCGCAAAAAGCTAGGTAGTTTCATGAGCGTTAAAATGGTTGAAACCTGCTCAGCCAGTGGGTCTGGGATCCACAGGACGGCGGTTCACTCTCTTCTCGACTGAATTAAAGAGAGGGGTGAGCATCTACCATGGCTACCAGTAGGTAATCCACCAGAGAGTTTGTACAAATCTTTTAACTGCAGGAAACACTTTAAAATATAAAATAGTCTTACTGAAACGTGATTAGAACTCCCACTGAAGTCTTTCCTATAGTTATGCTTTGTTGTCTAATATGGGCTGAGCTAATGCTACACGATCTTGTTTTCCTGAAACCTGTAGAAACATAAATGTCTCTAAGATTCCTACCCCTCAAACTCATATAAAATTAGCTAACAAACAGCCTTATACAGGCATGTCTGTGTACACACACACAAACACACACACACTGATTTTTTTCCCTGAGAAGTTAGACTAAATATACCAGCTCTTGAGTGCAGTGAAACACGGAAAAGAGGATGGATAGAAATTGTGTAGAAAATTGAACTATCGGAGTTCTTTTATTAGTTATTCATGAAGGAGTTGCTAGTGTCCTTAATGTTGGAATGGAGTTTAAATGATGGGGAGGTTAAATTCAGCAAATATGAAAATCTTTCTACTGTATACTGGTATGTAATTCTCTAAGAAATGTAAAAGCTTTCATTTGAATCTTACCTCAGTCAAAAGTCAAAAAACAGTCACAAGAATCGGTACCAAAACTTTCTCTTTAGATTGTTTTCTAAAGCATTTTTTCAATCTTCTTTAAAAAAAAAGAAAAAGAGAGCTTTAGTATTTCCATGGTTGCTCCGCTGTTTGCAGTAAATTTTTTAGCTTGCTAGGGAGAAAGTCCATGGGCTGCAAGTGAACCTTTTCCTTTGTCCCATGAATACCACTGAGATTTCGCTATCTCACACAACATTAAAAATCCTCATTGAGAAAATACCAGGTTTACCATTGCCTGTGCAGCTTTATTTTTGCTCCTTTCTATATAGTCATCGTGAGACAGATTTTTAGCATCTGCTTTGCTTTTTGTGCAGTTGCACATTCAGTGCAGAGTGAAAATAAAAAAGATATAAAACTAAATTTTATCTTTTTTATTACAAAAGGTATAAAGCTATTCTTTTCTGTCCATTAGTAAATTCTTTGTATATACTATGAAATAATTTTCATAAGGAATGTAGACTTGATTTGCTAGAGATGTTTATGTTTTACCTTGCTAATTCCCTTTCTACATTTAGTTTGTAGATTCTCTGGCTCAAGACACATAAGCACAAAAAAGTTCCCATGTGCTCGCTGCTCTGAAGTAACTTTCCCCATGTAAGCTCCTAGCCTAGGGCCACTGTGAGTTCTTTCTCTTGCTTGTATGCCATCATTGAGTAAAGATCATGGATTTATTTAATCTCAAGGTTTCAAAGTTCTGTGTTATGTGTTCAACAAGAGACTGTGCCTGAAAAAGGATTGAGCCAGTGGAATAAGCGATATGAGCAGGTCGACTTGTTAAATGCAGGAAAACAAAGAAGCAGATTCAAAACTCTATGTCATAAACCAGATACCAGTCTAAGTTCTAATGAAGTCAGAACAATGTATTAGAATGTCTAATGTCTGTCAGCTTCTGTATTCCATACTGTATCTTATGTTCTGATATGCTTCCAATCGCCCCCCGGACCCTTGCAAATTTTCCTCTCCTTTTCTCAGCCTTTTCTGAGAAAAAAGATTTTGTGTACTATACTCCAAAGGCTACTTTTGCAGAAATCTTTATTAAAAATGGAATGATTACATGTTATGATAGCCTGCCATCCCAGTACAATGACAGAGACTTCAAAAATAAACAGCTCTTATCATTAAGATCGTTCCTTGTTCTATGTTTTTGAAGCCAGATGTTTCCAGCATGCAAAGATTCAATTTATTTTGTGTAAACTTCTCAATACCTGGTTTGCTTTCAATTTAAAATGATATGACTACACAGATATTTTCTGCTTCGCTGGTTATATAAGAAAAACGTTAGTGAAGAAAAATATAATTACATCATTATAATGGCAGATTGTGAACTTCTGTTTATAAACTGTCTGTGAAGAGAAAACGTTGCTTACTGACCAAGACCGAAACTTCTCAAATGAGCAATGCAAGACCATTGGTGTTTTCTAAGAAGAAAAGTGCACCAGAAACTTAGCTCTTTTAGAATTTTTAATATGACATAAATAAATAAATAATCCTATTCGGAAATAAATACACTACAGAAAAAGCACTGTGGATTGTAACAGGTGGGACATATGTCTGCAAAATATAGCACATGAGAAATGCGATGGTGAATAAGTAGCAGGCACAAATTTACCTGGGGAAGAGGGAAGAATGAGGGGGCTGAATGCATGACAGTATTACTTGCAGTAACGTACGGCTACGAAGTTACGGAGACTCCCGCACGGATGGGGTTGAGTTGGTCCATCTTGTAGGGCAGCAGGGGTCTCCTGCCACCCTTGGCCTGAGGGCTGTAGAGCAATTAACCGAATCACAGTACCATGCTGCTCACTGCTCAGCTTGTTAATGGATTTTTTTTTCTTGCTTCCTTATCATCTTTATCCACCACTATCTTTTGTCTTTCCTGTTTCCTTTTTCTACGCTTTTTTTGACTGATCAATTTCTTAGTAAACTGTTTTAACAACCCCTATAAAAATGTGTCATTTCTTCTCTTAACTGTATATATTAGGTTCCTGGTCTTACCCTTTCTTTAATTACCCAGTTAGTAGCCTGATGGACTATGTACTCAAAATTAAATTCTCAGTAATTTGTCAATAAGGCTCCGTTTTGAATACTTACACTTTAAATGTATGACACTAGCCTGTTTCATATAATGCAAAGCAGCTTTAACAAGGCTCTTCACAAATGGACCTTAAAGAATTTAAGTGTTCCTGGGGTAAAAGGGGAGGTCCTCACATGCATCTGTAAGTGATGATAGAGAGGAAAGAAAAAATAAAAACATTTCACAGTGGAGGGTGCTACCAGTAGGCTGTCACAGGAATTCATCTGGGATCAATCTTGCTCAGCATATCCATGAATGACCTAGAAAAGAGACTAAAGAGAAATGACAAAATAGTCTCACATTGCCAAGTATCAGGAGGTAAAAACTAAAATGAAGCACAAGGGATTGCAGAAGAATCTCGGAGTGAGTGACTGCTGAGTGACATACCAGCAGATGGGAGTTCAGTGCTGAAAACTATACGGGGGGAAAGTACGTGGGAGAAGATTTTAACTTCACATACTGGAGTTCTTACCAATCAAGAAGGAAATCTTGGCTGTCACTGATTTCAAATCAGTCAGAAGATAAAACTGTGTTAGGAGTTACTAGGAAAGGAATAAGGGCAGCAATGTTGTTATACCTCACTATAAATCCATGCTGCTCCTGTAGACTGTATCTTCCATTTCTAAAATGATACTGTAGCATAGAAGATGACACCAGAAATGGAAGAAAACCGAGATCAAAGATTCAAAAAAAATTTCTCTAGATGGAGAAATTAAATACATTATGAGTCCTCAGCTTAGGAAAGAGACTTTTCATGAGGACAGCAGAGTTCTGTAACCTCATGAATGGCCTGAAGAAGATGACGAGGGAGTGACTGTACACTTTTTCTCGTAACAACAGCTATCAGACAGAAACTTGAAAATAGAGAAAAGCAGGTAACAACACAAATGAATAATGGACCTCACTGCCATGAGATGGGGGTAGGGGGAATTTAATTTTAAAAATTGGCAAATTCATGGAAGAATTGTTCATACAACAGCAACATGCTAGAAATAACTTTGCCTAGCTTCCCAATGTCAATCTATAGTCTTTACTAAGACAAATTAAAAAGAGTATTAAGTTTTGATAGAGCACTAGAAAAGAAAAAATAACAGGACTCTGGAGAGCCCACTAAGGAATAATGAAAATCAAAGAGAGAAAGTCAGGCTTTAAGCTTCATGTACAGTGAACAGTGAAATAATCGAACAGCCTACCCATATAGCCAGATGGGTCCCATTCCTCTTCATGTGGTTTTATACTGACATCAGGAACAGAATTTCTCTGAATGGGAAGAAATAAGCTATCAGAATCTGCTCTTTTGACTTTTATGCAGATGGGCTTAAACCCTCATATTACCGAATTGATATCATAGTTATAGCTGAATTGGCACATTACCATTCAGAAACTTTTTTTTTAAGTTTAAATAATATATATTTGCATGCTAAAAGTTTATTTACCTACTGTTCAGCCATTTCTGAATTGGGGAATGGGTGGAAATGCTGTGTGTCTGTTACTGAACATTTTTATTCTGGTTCTAGTTTGCCCCTAGTTCAATGGGATGTGGCTGAAGGGATTTTATTCAGTGATAGAGGACCAGTAGGGAATACTGCGCTGGAACTTGTAAGCTACAAGGGTGGGTATATGTTCTGCTAGTGAGCT